GGTGGTGGTGGTGGTGCTCGCCGAGTCGGTCCTGGCCCTCTTCTAGGTCGACTCGGCCTCAAATGAGGTACCTGATGCGGTGTGTAAACATCGCCGCTGGGCGAGACAAAGGCGGCCGGGCGTGGTGGTACTGTACGTTGAACTTCTTTCGCACCGTACGTAGCCAACTGGGCTAATCGGGAGATGCGGACGATGTTGGGTCGAGAGTGGGGAAGGAATGGCAGCCGGGGGGGGGGGGGGGGAAGGGCCGACGAGCGGATACAACCAACTGGTCCCCACCAGAGGAATGTGGAATTTCTTCCGGTGGCTCGGTGTCACACGCACAATCCACACACACACACAGAATCCACACACACAGAATCCACACACACACACAGAATCCACACACACACACAGAATCCACACACACACAGAATCCACACACACACAGATTTCCACACACACACACAGAATCCACACACACAAAATCCACACACACACACAGAATCCACACACACACACAGAATCCACACACACACACAGAATCCACACACACACAGAATCCACACACACACAAAATCCACACACACACAGGATCCACACACACACAGAATCCACACACACGCACACAGAATCCACACACACACGCACACAGAATCCACACACACACGCACACAGAATCCACACACACACAGAATCCACACACACACACAGAATCCACACACACACGCACACAGAATCCACACACACACACAGAATCCACACACACACACAGAATCCACACACACACAGAATCCACACACACACAAAATCCACACACACACAGGATCCACACACACACAGAATCCACACACACGCACACAGAATCCACACACACACGCACACAGAATCCACACACACACGCACACAGAATCCACACACACACAGAATCCACACACACACACAGAATCCACACACACACGCACACAGAATCCACACACACACAGAATCCACACACACGCACAGAATCCACACACACAGAACCACACACACACAGAATCCACACACACACACATAATCCACACACACACAGAATCCACACACACGCACACAGAATCCACACACACACGCACACAGAATCCACACACACACGCACACAGAATCCACACACGCACACAGAATCCACACACACAGAATCCACACACACACACACACAGAATCCACACACACAGAATCCACACACACAGAATCCGCACACACACACAGAATCCACACGCACACAGAATCCACACACACACAGAATCCACACACACACAGAATCCACACACACACACAGAATCCACACACACACACAGAATCCACACACACACACAGAATCCACACACACACACAGAATCCACACACACGCACACACAGAATCCACACACACACAGAATCCACACACACAGAATCCACACACACACACGCACACAGAATCCACACACACACGCACACAGAATCCACACACACAGAATCCACACACACACACGCACACAGAATCCACACACACACGCACACAGAATCCACACACACACACAGAATCCACACACACACAGAATCCACACACACGCACAGAATCCACACACACACAGAATCCACACACACACACAGAATCCACACACACACATAATCCACACACACACATGGGTCTCTGTGCGAGTCTTTGGGTCTCTGTGTGAGTCTTTGGGTCTCTGTGCGAGTCTTTGGGTCTCTGTGTGAGTCTTTGGGTCTCTGTGCGAGTCTATGGGTCTCTGTGTGAGTCTATGGGTCTCTGTGCGAGTCTATGGGTCTCTGTGCGAGTCTATGGGTATCTGTGTGAGTATGGTCTCTGTGTGAGTCTATGGGTCTCTGTGTGAGTCTATGGGTCTCTGTGCGAGTCTATGGGTCTCTGTGCGAGTCTATGGGTCTCTGTGCGAGTCTATGGGTCTCCGTGTGAGTCTATGGATCTCTGTGTGAATCTATGGGTCTCTGCATGAATCTATGGGTCTCTGTGTGAGTCTGTGGGTCTCTATGCGAGTCTATGGGTCTCTGTGCGAGTCTATGGGTCTCTGTGTGAGTATATGGGTCTCTGTGTGAGTCTATGGGTCTCTGTGTGAGTCTATGGGTCTCTGTGTGTCTACGGGTCTCTGTGTGAGTCTATGTGTCTCTGTGTGAGTCTATGGGTCTCTGTGTGAGTCTATGGGTCTCCGTGTGAGTCTATGGATCTCTGTGTGAATCTATGGGTCTCTGGGTGAATCTATGGGTCTCTGTGTGAGTCTGTGGGTCTCTATGCGAGTCTATGGGTCTCTGTGCGAGTCTATGGGTCTCTGTGTGAGTCTATGGGTCTCTGTGTGAGTCTATGGATCTATGTGTGAGTCTATGGGTCTCTGTGTGAGTCTATGGATCTCTGTTTGAGTCTATGGGTCTCTGTGTGAGTCTATGGGTCTCTGTGTGTCTACGGGTCTCTGTGTGAGTCTATGGGTCTCTGTGTGAGTCTATGGGTCTCTGTGTGAGTCTATGGGTCTCTGTGCGAGTCTATGGGTCTCTGTGTATGTCTGGATGTTGAACTTTTTTCGCACCGTACGTAGCCAACCGTGCTAATCAGAGGTGCGGCGGGGGGGGGACAATAAACCTGTGTAACGATGAGTCGACCTGGACACAGAAGCGTCACCTTGCATCATCAATACCAACACACTCGACATTCGCTACCAAGTGCCGGTGAGGTCACCACGGCGCCTGTGCCAGGCCAGGTGCACTTTGAGGCCATCACGTGAAGTGTCAAAGGCTCGCCGCTGACAGGTCTCGGGACAGACTCGGCAGGTGCCATGGGTTGGCTGACTGAGATGACCGGTAGATGCACCACCAGCTGTACCCTCCTACTGTGCCAGGCTAGGTGCAGGAGGTCACGGGACAGACCCTGCAGGTGCCATGGGTTGGCTGACTGAGATGACCAGTAGATGCACCACCAGCTGTACCCTCCTACTGTGCCAGGCTAGGTGCAGGTCACAGGACAGACCCGGCAGGTGCCATGGGTTGGCTGACTGAGATAACCGGTAGATGCACCACCAGCTGTACCCTCCTACTGTGCCAGGCTAGGTGCAGGTCACAGGACGGACCCGGCAGGTGCCATGGGTTGGCTGACTGAGATGACCGGTAGATGCACCACCAGCTGTACCCTCCTACTTTGCCAGGCTAGGTGCAGGAGGTCACGGGACAGACCCTGCAGGTGCCATGGATTGGCTGACTGAGATGACCGGTAGATGCACCACCAGCTGTACCCTACTGTGCCAGGCTAGGTGCAGGAGGTCACGGGACAGACCCGCCAGGTGCCATGGGTTGGCTGACCGAGATGACCGGTAGATGAACCACCAGCTGTACCCTCCTACTGTGCCAGGCTAGGTGCAGGAGGTCACAGGACAGACCCGGCAGGTGCCATGGGTTGGCTGACCGAGATGACCGGTAGATGCACCACCAGCTGTACCCTCCTACTGTGCCAGGCTAGGTGTAGGAGGTCACGGGACAGACCCGGCAGGTGCCATGGGTTGGCTGACTGAGATGACCGGTAGATGCACCACCAGCTGTACCCCCTTGCACACACACAATCACATTCATGTGTTTTGCTCTGTCTTCCACGTTCAACGAAAAAAATATTCCCTGCGCGCCAAGTCAATTCTCACATTCACCGCCTACCCAGCCCCTCTTAAGGGGGGAGCGCCGTGGTGGCTAGGAGATGTTAACTACCTCGCCTGGCATGCAGGAGGTCGAGAGTTCGATCGCGGACGGATGGGGTGGTCGGTGGGTGGTCGGTGGGTGGGCGGATGGCACAGCATTCAGCACTACGAACCCGGCGTAGACCAGAGTTCGAATCCCGCTCACGGCCAAAACCGGTGGCGATAATCCGAACAGGTCTTGGGCCTCCTGCCCTAGGTCAACTCGGCCTCAAATGAGTACCTGGTGCGGTGCGTAGTAAACATCACCACTGGGGAGACAAAGGTGGCCGGGCGTGCGTGGTGCTGGCCACCCACCCCCCATGTGCCCTGCCGGCCTTCATAGGCGCTGCTACTCGCTAACAGCACTTGCCCCAACAGTCTGTTAGAGGCTACACGGGGGAACTTTGTCTCCTTCATAGTTGCTGCTGCTACTCGCTAACAGCACTTGCCCCAACAGTCTGTTAGAGGCTACACGGGGGACCTTTGTCTGTCTCCTTCATAGGCGCTGCTGCTGCTACTCGCTAACAGCACTTGCCCCGACAGTCTGTTAGAGGCTACACGGGGGACCTTTGTCTTTGTCTCCTTCATAGGCGCTGCTGCTGCTACTCGCTAACAGCACTTGCCCCGACAGTCGGTTAGAGGCTACACGGGGGATCTTTGTCTCCTTCATAGGCGCTGCTGCTGCTACTCGCTAACAGCACTTGCCCCAACAGTCTGTTAGAGGCTACACGGGGGATCTTTGTCTCCTTCATAGGCGCTGCTGCTGCTACTCGCTAACAGCACTTGCCCCGACAGTCTGTTAGAGGCTACACGGGGGATCTTTGTCTCCTTCATAGGTGCTGCTACTCGCTAACAGCACTTGCCCCGACAGTCTGTTAGAGGCTACACGGGGGATCTTTGTCTCCTTCATAGGTGCTGCTACTCGCTAACAGCACTTGCCCCGACAGTCTGTTAGAGGCTACACGGGGGATCTTTGTCTCCTTCATAGGCGCTGCTGCTGCTACTCGCTAACAGCACTTGCCCCGACAGTCTGTTAGAGGCTACACGGGGGATCTTTGTCTCCTTCATAGGCGCTGCTGCTGCTACTTGCCCCGACAGTCCGGGACCTACCAGACACCTGTGAACAAGAGTTTCATAGGTCATCAAATTCTCCACCCTCCGCCCCCCCCAACCCCACAACTCCTCAAGTCCAAACAAAGAATAAGCCACCAACATGCAGGGCCCAGATAACACTGCAAAATAAACGAAAGTCAAAACAAACAAAATCGAAAAAAAAAATGTAAGCAACAAAAAAATATTTGAGATGGTTTTTTTTTTTATTTCTTTACACGCGATTTCTTTTTTTTTTTTCAAGTTTTATTTTAAACACGGGGAGGAAATGCGATTATAATTTATACGTTCACTTTCTCTCTGTGCCGAATCGAGCTTCCGATCGCGTTCCGCGAACGGACGGGCTCCCTTCCTGAGCCTCGCGCACGAGCACAACCTACCCACGACGGAGGGGGGGGGGACAAAAAATAACGCGAAACACATTTGAAGCCGCAAGACGTTCCTGGAGACCAACACGAACGAGAGAGAACGGCACCCACGACGTCACGCGGCCTCGCCGGTGGTGCCGCTCCGTGCGACGATCGCACTGCACGCAACCACCACCACCACCACCCCGGGGTTCACGCAGCCCGCACACAAAGACAAAAGTTCCCCCCCACCCCCGTAGAGGCTTTAACAGACTGTCGGGGCAAGTGCTGCAGTACCTACTGAAGGCCGTCGGCACGGAAGGGGGTGGGTGGCCAGCAACCACGCACCACGCCCGACCGCCTTTGTCTCCCCAGTGGCGATGTTTTTTACACACCGCACCCAGGTACTCATTCGAGGGCTGAGTCGACCTAGGGGAGGCCCAGGACCGGTTCGGATAATCGTCACCGTTGTTGGTGGGTGGCCGTGAGCGGGAATCGAGAAATCGGGTCGACGCCGGGTTCGTAGAGCAGCGCGCTAACCGCTGCACCACCGCTCCCCACACATGCACCATCCCCCTCCACGCGCCACCCACAAACCAAGCGACCACCAGGTCTGCCTGTGCTCACGCGCACACCCACTTACACGCACGGCACGGCCTGCCAAACACATGTGCAACTTCGCTCTGGAATTGTCCCCGCAGAAGAAAGTGTAAACCTTAGCGGGGGGCGGGCAGCCGGGCGGGCACGTGCACGCACACGCACGCACGCGCACACACGCACGCGCACACACACGCACACACGCACGCTCGCTCTCGATGTGCGGCGACAACGTCAAAGAGAAATATTAAAAAACGACCTGGAAAAAAAACGCAGGTTCTGGGAAGTCATTCCACTGGGACTGGGCCACGTTTTTTTTTGTTTTTTCGCCGTCGACCGAAGGGGGTTAATCGGCCGGCATCGGCCCCTTCTCTTGGAGGCCACCGCCATCATCATCACCGCCACCGACGCCGCCATCACCGTCACACGTTCCGTCACGGTGGGATTTGCGAGCGGACGCGACGGCAAGAGCGTGGCTGCGGGGAAAAAAACTAAACGACGCGTCTCTGAGCCGGTCATTTGTCACGTCGCGCGAAAAGGCTGAGCTGCTGCTGCTGCCGCTGCTGCCGTATCCCCGTGGTGGTGGTGGTCGTGGTGGTGGTGGTGGTCGTGATGGTGGTGGTGGTGGTATCGGAGCCACGGTAGGAACCCCAATGGCCAGTCAGAGGTAGCGGGTCCACGCGCGCGCAGACTGTAGTAACATCTCCTGGTTTTTGCGATCTGCTAGGAGGACTGGCATATTTTTTGCCTTGTTATTTATTCATGTTGTTATGTCGTTTAATTACCACGGAAAGCCTCACTGTGAGATTCAAGACAGTGTTGTTGTTGTTGTTGTTTTTATTATCATTACTTACACAGGGGAGGGCTCTGGCCTACATCGGGACGTCTTGGCCAATTCCTCGAGTCGACACGAGAGATTTTTGTTGTCGCCGTTGTAAATCCGCGCGAGACCAAAACAAACCAGGACTATGAACACGCACCACACATACCGGGAGGGGGGGGCGAGGCGGGGGGGGGAGATGGGACAACAACAACAACAACACTCGAAACTCCACACGGGTGGATCCGACGATCCGATAACAATCCGTTGCACGAAAATGGCAGCTTCAGCGTGCGCGCGGATGACGGAGGTCGGGCGCTGGAATCTTTCCCCGAAAACTTTGCCGACCCCGGTTGACCTCCACCCCCCCTCCTCCTCCCACGCCAACCCCCCACCGTCCATTGGTCAAAGAGCGTCCGGCGCGCCAGCCGTCACACGGAGCTGTCTTGCAGCAGCGGCTCCTCGCCCTCCGTCGCGAGGGGGGAGTGCGTGTCCTCCTCCGAGTGGCCCAGCGCCATCTCCCCCACGTGCTGGTGGTGCTGCTGCTGCTGGTGCTGATGCTGCTGCTGCTGCTGGTGCTGCTGCTGGTGGTGGTGGAGGAGCCCGTGGTGTTGTTGGTGGTGGTGGTGGTGGCGCCGGTGGTGGCCGACGGCGCCTCCGGCCTGCGCCCCGGATCCCGCCGGCCTCTCCGGGATGAAGAGCGCCACCAGCAGCGCCAGCAGCACGGAGCAGGCGCCGAACAGGAACGGGGGGCCTGGGATGATGGTCTGGGGGGGCGAGCGGGCGAGGGGGATGTGAGCTCGCGACGATCCGATCGCAAGCCGCTCGCTCGCCTCTCCGCTGAGCCGCCCGAAGGGAACGCAACGAAGCAGGCAATGACGGTGACACTGACAACACTGCACACAGCGTCGTCATCGTCGTCGCCACCAACCGCCGCGACCGTCACCACCACCACAATCACCATCACCACCACCGTCACCACCACCAACCACCGTCACCGTCACCAACCACCAGTGCCATCAACACCACCACCATCACCGTCACCACCACCACCACCAACCACCGTCACCACTACCAACCACCACCCTCACCACCACCAACCACCATCACCCACCACCACCAACACCAACCACCATCACCACCACCACCACCGTCACCATCACCAACCACCATCACCGTCACCACCACCACCAACCACCGTCACCAACCATCATCATCACCATCATCATCAACCACCACCCTCACCACCCCCAACACCACCAACCACCCTCACCACCACCCATCACCACCACCCACCCACCCACCTTGTCGCTGGCGGCGGGCACGTCCGCCCTGCTGGGGTCGGCGCTGTCCCCGGCCGGCACCTCGTCGAGCTCCACGTGGAAGAGGTAGAAGATGAAGCCGTAGAGGGCTGGGCCCAGCCCGTTGCACAGCCCCCGAATCCCCGTCACCATGCCCTGCACCACGCCTGTGGCAACGCGGCGGGAGAAGGGCGGGGGGCAGTTGTTATATTCTTAGGTTTTTTTTTTTCTAGAATGAAAGGGGCAGTTGTTGTTTAACCACCACCTGGTAAGGCCCTTACCGAGCTGCTGTGTTAGCTGTTTTGTCAGAATCAAGTGGTTCTAGATTTGAAGCTTTCGTGACTGCAAGGATTCATACTCTTAGTTATTTCGGTAAAGTCACCACGTAGGTAAAAAATGAAATTAAAATTAATAAAAAATAAAACAATAAAATCACGACGTTTCGGAGGCAACACAAGTCTCCGTCATCAGGTGGGACCGTCACAGCCACATTTGCTGCATCAAGTGATGCAGCAAATGTGGCTGTGAAGTGATGCAGCAAATCTGGCTGTGACGGTCCCACCTGATGACGAAGACTTGTGTTGCCTCCGAAACGTCGTGATTTTATTATTTTATTTTTTATGAATTTTAATTTCATTTTTTACCTACGTGACTTTACCGAAAGAACTAAGAGTAAGAATCAAGTGGCTTGTCATCATCATCACCGCGTGGGAAATTCATAGCTGCAGCCGAATACGTGCAACGTCGATTCTAAATGTGGAGGGAGAAAAACCGGAGGACCCCGGAGAAAAATCCACGTAACCACGGGGAGACAGCGAGAGAAACACGCAGACTCCAGCAGGTATTGTCAGGGTCGGGATGGAACCCACGACCTCCTGTATACCAGGCGAGGTAGTCAACATCTCGCCACATGCGGCTCTCTAAGGGACTGCTTTGCGACGTTGTTTATTGAGGACCCATCACCATCTCCTACTCACGTTGCATTGTGCACCTCTTGATATACTGAGGTTTGTTTTTTTTACAGAATTCGAAACAAATTAAATCGCTCTTCTTGTTATTTTGGTTTTTTTTTCCCGATGCCTGCTCTAAGAATTTGTTAGGTTCTGCTACTCGCTAACGGCACTTGCCCCAACAGTCTGTTAGAGGCTACACGGGGGATCTTTGTCTGTCTCCTTCACAGGCGCTGCTGCTACTCGCTAACAGCACTTGCCCCAACAGTCTGTTAGAGGCTACACGGGGGATCTTTGTCTGTCTCCTTCACAGGCGCTGCTGCTACACGCTAACAGCACTTGCCCCAACAGTCTGTTAGAGGCTACACGGGGGATCTTTGTCTGTCTCCTTCACAGGCGCTGCTGCTACACGCTAACAGCACTTGCCCCAACAGTCTGCTAGAGGCTACACGGGGGATCTTTGTCCGTCTCCTTCACAGGCGCTGCTGCTACACGCTAACAGCACTTGCCCCAACAGTCTGTTAGAGGCTACACGGGGGATCTTTGTCTGTCTCCTTCACAGGCGCTGCTGCTACACGCTAACAGCACTTGCCCCAACAGTCTGCTAGAGGCTACACGGGGGATCTTTGTCCGTCTCCTTCACAGGCGCTGCTGCTACACGCTAACAGCACTTGCCCCAACAGTCTGTTAGAGGCTACACGGGGGATCTTTGTCTGTCTCCTTCACAGGCGCTGCTGCTACACGCTAACAGCACTTGCCCCAACAGTCTGTTAGAGGCTACACGGGGGATCTTTGTCCGTCTCCTGCACAGGTGCTGCTGCTACACGCTAACAGCACTTGCCCCAACAGTCTGTTAGAGGCTACACGGGGGATCTTTGTCTGTCTCCTTCACAGGCGCTGCTGCTACACGCTAACAGCACTTGCCCCAACAGTCTGCTAGAGGCTACATGGGGGATTTTTGTCCGTCTCCTTCACAGGTGCTGCTACTCGCTAACAGCACTTTCCCCAAGAGGCTATTAAGGCTTTACGGTGGGGGGGGGGGATCGATAATGGAGGTTTTTGTTGGGTTAGATCGCGTCAATATAAATGTGTGTCGGGGAACCCGGCACCAACACCCGACAACAGCCAATCAAGTAAGGTGGGGTGTATCACGTGGCCAATTCGTTACTAGTTCAGCTCCCACCGGTTGTGTGCTGGAGAGTAAACCCACCACGACATTTACAACTCGAGGGCCGTGACGTTTCGCCGGCGATGACATTTACACGCTCCAACCCGTAAAAAAAACTTGACTCTGGATATTATCGGTCGCAAAAGCCGCCTGCTACGTGTTCATCTATACGGGGGATCTTTGTCCCGTGCGCTTTGTGGCACAGACCTCCTGCACCTAGCCTGGCACAGCGGGGAGCGCAGCTGGCGCATCCGCCGGTCATCTCAGTCGGTCAACCCCACAAGGCATTTGCTGGCTCTCTCCCGTGACCTGCACCTAGCCTGGCACAGCGGGGAGCACAGCTGGTGCATCCGCCGGTCATCTCAGTCGGTCAACCCCACAAGGCATTTGCTGGTTCTCTCCCATGACCTCCTGCACCTAGCCTGGCACAGCGGGAAGCACAGCTGGTGAATCAACCGGTCATCTCAGTCGGTCAACCCCACAAGGCATTTGCTGGTTCTCTCCCGTGACCTGCACCTAGCCTGGCACAGCGGGAAGCACAGCTGGTGCAACCGCCGGTCATCTCAGTCGGTCAACCCCACAAGGCATTTGCTGGTTCTCTCCCGAGGCCTCCTGCCAGCCAGCAAGCGAGAGCCTTCGACGCTTCACAGAAACGCCATCGAAGTGCGCCTGGGCCTGGCACAGGTGCTGTGGTCGTGACGTCGGTGGCGAACCGCTGTTGTTGTCGTTATGCTTGCATACGTGCGTGAGTGCGTACGTGAGTGCGTACGTGAGTGCGTACGTGAGTGCGTACGTGAGTGCGTACGTGAGTGCGTGCGTGAGTGCGTGCGTGAGTGAATGGGTGAGTGTACATGTGCGAGTGAGTGCGTGCGAGTGCATGAGCGAGTGAGTGCTTGCGTGAGCGCGTGCATGAGCGAGTGAGCGAGTGCGTGCATGTGTGTGCGTGAGTGCGCGTGCGTGAGTGCGCGCGTGCGTGCGTTCCTCACCTTGTTGGTCGGCGTCGGCGTTTCGCGACACCAGCGCCGACACGGCCGGGAAGGTGATGCTGGACATGGCGGCCACAGCGCCGGACGCCCACATCATCCTGGCAACACAAAGACAAAGGGGCACCCACGCCCCAGTGTAGCCTTTAACAGACCGTTTAGTGGTGTTAAAACTCAACGAGGCGGCCTGGCTACAAATGATAGCTCAACAAAGGCCTTCAAGAGTGTCCTCCCGCAGAGGCCTTCTCCACACAAACACGCAAAACAAAGACAAAGGTCCCCCCGTGTGGCCTCAACAGACTGACAGGGGCAAGTGCTGTTAGCGAGTAGCAGTGCCTACGAAGGCCGGCACGGCGGCACGCGAGGGGGCTGGGTGACCAGCACCGCGCCTGGCCGGCTTTGTCTCCCCCAGGTGGCGATATTTACGCATCGCACCAGGTACTCATTTGAGGCCAAGTTGACCTAGGAGATGACCCTGGACCGCTTCAGACAATCGGCGCCGGTGTTGGCCCGTTGAGCGTGAATCGAACGTGGGTCACCGGGTTTGTAGTGCAACGCGTACCGCTCCCAAAACGCACACCAAGAGCCGCCATTCGCCACGAAGTCACAGGGACATCAACACGGCACCTGTGCCAGGCCAGGTGCACTTTGAGGCCATGTGAAGTGTCAAAGGCTCGCTGCTGGCAGGAGGTCACGGGACAGATCCAGCAGGTACCATGGGGGTGGCTGACTGTGATGACTGGTAGACGCACCGCTAGCTGTACCCCCTACTGTGCCAACTTGCTGCATTTTATCCGCCCGGCGCTCTCCGCACGTTGTTGTGAGCAACGTCGCTCCTCTGCCCTCCCGTTGTTGTTGTAAAAAGTGACCGTCTCCAACTGCCCAGTCGTGGCATCCTTTACGAGCCTCCTCCGCACACACACACGCACGCACGCACGCACACACACACACACACGCACGCACGCACACACGCACGCACGCACGCACGCACACACACACACACACGCACGCATGCACACACACACACACGCACGCACGCATGCACACACACACACACGCACGCACGCATGCACACACACACACACGCACGCACGCATGCACACACACACGCACGCACACACACGCACGCACACACGCACGCACACACGCACGCACACACACACACACGCACACACACACACACGCACCAGGGCTGGGAGCCGAAGCCGTAGCACGTGAGTTGCACCATCTGGAAGACCAGGCCAAGCAGAATGGTGTTCTTGTTCCCGATGGAGCGCATGAGGGCGCTGAGCACCAGCGTCTAGACGCGCAGGGATGCACGGGGGGACACGCGGAGACACGCGCGGGAAAACGGGGGTATCGGCAATCAGCACAGAGGCACGGGGAACACGCGGCGAACACGCGGGGGACACAAAGGGAAACCGGGAGACACGGGAGAATACAGGGAGACGTGCGGAGACACAGGGAGATCAGCACAGACGCACGGGGACACACGGGGACACACGGGGACACACGGGGACACACGGGGACACACGGGGACACACGGGGACACAAACAGAGATGCAGGCGGGACGCACGGGAACACACGGGGTCACACGGGGACACACGGGGACACACGGGGTCACACGGGGAGACACGGGGAGACACGGGGACACACGGGGTCACACGGGGAGACACGGGGAGACACGGGGACACACGGGGTCACACGGGGAGACACGGGGAGACACGGGGACACAAACAGAGATGCAGGCGGGACGCACGGGAACACACGGGGTCACACGGGGACACACGGGGACACACGGGGTCACACGGGGAGACACGGGGAGACACGGGGACAAAAAGGGGGCACACGGGGAGACACGGGGAGACACGGGGACACACGGGGTCACACGGGGAGACACGGGGAGACACGGGGACACAAACAGAGATGCAGGCGGGACGCACGGGAACTCGTAGAGGGCACACGGGTACACGGGGACACACTGCGACAGTGGGACACGGAGACACACGGAGACACACGGGGGACGCGCAGGCTTCTGTCCCACCTGAGCGATGATGGACAGGATGCCCAGCACGGCAATGAACGCGGCGACGCTTTCGGAGGAGAACTTCATCACCTGCACACGCACACACGTACACACACACACACGTATACACGTGTATACACACACGTACACACACACACAAACGTGTCATGGAACCCACCACCACCACCCGACACAGCCAACCGGTAAGGGGGTTTGTCACGTAAACAATATCGTGCCAGGTCGTTCCAAGTTCAGCACTAACCGGTTGTGCGTTGGGAGAGTAAAACCCACCACAACATTTGCAATTGGACCACAAGCACTGCTCTCTCCCATAACGCGGCGGAAGTAGTTGCGTCGCTGAAGAACGCCGCGGCGTCATGGACAAATCGCGTTGTAATAATTGGTCTATAACGTAGGGGGGTAAAGTGCGGTACGCGATAATGCGTGAAGTGCGCAACGCAGGGGACGAACAGAGACCGAGGCGCGCGTGCGGTAGCGTCTAGAAGGACCATCCCGATGCCATGCAGACAACGGCCGTCACGGACCCATAATTCCTAACTCGCACGACGCAGTGCTTCCGTTCGCTCGATCGCGGTTACTATATCCAATTCGCATCCGCGTTTTTTCAACAAACGCGTCATTAAAACCGCACGCGGCGTCACAGGAGAACAGAACGCACGACGTTCGCCCGGCGATATGCCGGAGTTGTGAGCGCACACACCCCGAGCGAGCGAGTGAGCGTGCGCGCCTCACCTGGCGCAGGTAGAGGAAGAAGCTGGAGTACTGGCCGGCCTCGGGCAGGTAGGAGAGCAGCACCGTGATGCAGATGAGCAGCACCGTCGAGTCCTGGCCGACCTTGCGCAGGGACTAGAGACGGCACGCGGGCACACACACACACACAGAGGTCGCTCGCTCACTCACCCAGCATCTCGCTTACTCACCGAACAGCTCGCCAAGCAGCTCGCTCACTCACTCACCGAACAGCTCGCTCACTCATCGAACAGCTCACTCGCTCGCTCACTCACCCGCTCATTCACATGCCCCCCCCCACCACCCCCCTCACCACCACCACCCCCCCCACCACGCCCACCTCCCCCCCACCACCTCCAAACCACCATCCTTCCCAACCGTGACCCAACGCGCCGGAGCACTGTTATTTCGCTAGTGGAGCTCGCTCGCGTAACAACAATAAGTAAAAAATCGCGTTGCGAGAAAACGGACGTTTAAACAAAAAACAAATGGGACGTTAATAACTTTTTCACGGCCTTGGAAGGGCCGCGGTGGCCTGGGCCCACTCGTGCCGGGCCCAGCTGGAGCCCGGGGGGGGGGGGGGGGCCTCACCGCGAAGGGGTCGGCCTGCTCCCACGAGATGGGGGCCCCCCACGAGGCGGGCCGCATCTTCTCGGGCAGCGACTCTGGCACGGCGGCGAGCACGAAGGCGATGTCCAGCAGCGCCACGGCGGTGGCCAGCGCCACCACCAGCCCGTCGCCGTACGCCTCGCTCAGGTACGCGCCGATCGCCGGGCTCGTCACCAGGCTCGCCGCAAACGTCGCCGACACCTGGGTTTGGGGGTGTGTGGATGTGGGTTTGGGTGGATTTGGGTGGGTGGGTGTGGGTGGGTGTGTAGGTTTGGGTGGGTGTGTAGGTTTGGGTGGGTGTGGGTGGGTGTGTAGGTTTGGGTGGGTGTGGGTGGGTGGGTTTGGGTGGTTGTGGGCGAGTAGGTGGGTTTGGGTGGGTGTGTAGGTTTGGGTGGGTGGTGTGGGTGGGTTTGGGTGGGTGTGGGTGGGTGTGGGTGGGTTTGGGTGGGTTTGGGTGGATTTGGGTGGGTGGGTGTGTAGGTTTGGGTGGGTGTGTAGGTTTGGGTGGGTGTGGGTGGGTTTGGGTGGATTTGGGTGGGTGTGTAGGTTTGGGTGTGTAGGTTTGGGTGGGTGGTGTGGGTGGGTGTGTAGGTTTGAGTGGTATGGGTGGGTGTGGGTAGGTTTGGGTGGGTGGGGATGGGTGGGTTTATGTGGATGTGCGAGAGTAGGTGGGTTTGGGTGGTTTTCAATGCGTAGGTGGGTGGGTCAGTGGGTGGTTGGGTGAGTGAGTGGGGGGTGGGGGTAGAGGGGTGGGTGGGTTTGAGTCGGAAGGTGGATTTGGTTGGGTTTGGGTGAGTGGGTGGTTGGGTCAGTGGTGGTTGGGTCAGTGGGTGGGGAGGTGGGTGGAGATGTGGGTGGAGGGATGGGTGGGGAGGGGGTGTACGTTAGCGTGTGCACATCACAGCTGTCCATCTTAATACATGTGTGTGCGCGTGTGTCTGTCCCGTGACCTCCTGCCAGCAGCGAGCCTCCGATACTTCACGTGACAGCCTCAAAGTGCACCTGGCCTGGCACAGTGGTGATGTCCCTGTCACTTCGTGGCGAATGGCGGCTCTTGGTATTGGTGTGCGTGTTGGGAGCGGTAGTGTCGCGCGGTTTAGGGAACTGCGCTACGAACCCGGCGACCAGAGTTCAATTCCCACTCACGGCCCACAGTGACGATTATCTGACCCGGTCCTGGGCCTCCCCTAGGTCGACTCAACCTCAAATGAGTACCCCGGTGCCTCGCGTAAGAACATCGCCACTCGGGGCGTGGTGCTGGCCACCCACCCCCCTCATGTTGCCGTTCCGGCCTTCGTAGGTGCTGCTCGCTCACCGAACTTGCCCCAGCAGCCTGCTAGGGCTACACGGGGGACCTCCGTCTGCGTAACGCGGGCAGGCGAGCGGGCGCGTCTCACCAGGCCGTACGCCGTGCTGCTCGCCCACAGAACTTGCCCCAGCAGCCTGCTAGGGCTACACGGGGGATCTGTGTCTGCGTAACGCGGGCAGGCGAGCAAGCGAGCGAGCGGGCGGGCGAGCGTGCGGGCGGGCGAGCGGGCGGGCGAGCGGGCGGGCAAGCGTGCGCGAGTCTCACCAGGCCGTACGCCGTGCTGCGCTCGTGCTCGGCCGTGACGTCCGCCACGTAGGCGAACACCACGGAGAAGGTGACCGAGAAGATCCCGGAGATGGAGATCACGGCAAAGTACCACCTGTGCAACCGGGCACCACGGGCACCGCCGCACACACACGTGTCTCTCTATGCCGTGCGTATAGAGTGTGTGTGTGCTGTGTGTATAGTGTGTGTATGCTGTGCGTATAGTGTGTGTATGCCGTGTGTATAGTGTGTGTGCTGTGTGTATAGTGTGTGTGTGCTGTGTGTATAGTGTGTGTGTGTGCTGTGCGTATAGTGTGTGTATGCCGTGTGTATAGTGTGTGTGCTGTGTGTATAGTGTGTGTGTGCCGTGTGTATAGTGTGTGTGTGCTGTGTGTATAGTGTGTGTGTATGCCATGTGTATAGTGTGTGTGTATGCCGTGTGTATAGAGTGTGTGTGTGCCGTGTGTATAGTGTGTGTGTGTGCTGTGTGTATAGTGTGTGTGCTGTGTGTATAGTGTGTGTATGCTGTGTGTATAGTGTGTGTGTGCTGTGTGTATAGTGTGTGTATGCTGTGTATATAGTGTGTGTGTGTGCCGTGTGTATAGTGTGTGTGTGTGCTGTGCGTATAGTGTGTGTATGCTGTGCGTATAGTGTGTGTGTGTGCTGTGTGTATAGTGTGTGTATGCCGTGTGTATAGTGTGTGTGTATGCTGTGCGTATAGTGTGTGTATGCCGTGTGTATAGTGTGTGTGCTGTGCGTATAGTGTGTGTATGCTGTGTGTATAGTGTGTGTGTGTGCTGTGTGTATAGTGTGTGTATGCCGTGTGTATAGTGTGTGTGTATGCCGTGTGTATAGTGTGTGTGTGTGCTGTGCGTATAGTGTGTGTATGCTGTGCGTATAGTGTGTGTGTGTGCTGTGCGTATAGTGTGTGTATGCTGTGTGCATAGTGTGTGTGTGTGTGTGCTGTGTGTATAGTGTGTGTATGCCGTGTGTATAGAGTGTGTGTATGCTGTGCGTATAGAGTGTGTGTATGCTGTGCGTATAGTGTGTGTATGCTGTGTGTATAGTGTGTGTGTGTGCTGTGTGTATAGTGTGTGTATGCCGTGTGTATAGTGTGTGTGTATGCCGTGTGTATAGTGTGTGTGTGCCGTGCGTATAGAGTGTGTGTGTGCTGTGTGTATAGTGTGTGTGTGTGCCGTGTGTATAGTGTGTGTGTGCTGTGCGTATAGAGTGTGTGTGTGCTCTGCGTATAGTGTGTGTGTGCTGTGTGTGTGCTGTGCGTATAGAGTGTGTGTGTGCCGTGTGTATAGTGTGTGTGTGTGCCGTGTGTATAGAGTGTGTGTGTGCTGTGCGTATAGAGTGTGTGTGTGCTGTGCGTATAGTGTGTGTGTGTGCTGTGCATATAGAGTGTGTATGCCGTGCGTATAGAGTGTGTGTGTGCCGTGCGTATAGTGTGTGTGTATGCTGTGCGTATAGAGTGTGTGTGTGCCGTGTGTATAGTGTGTGTGTATGCCGTGCGTATAGAGTGTGTGTGTGCCGTGCGTATAGAGTGTGTGTGTGCCGTGCGTATAGTGTGTGTGTGCTGTGCGTATAGTGTGTGTGTGCCGTGCGTATAGAGTGTGTGTGTGCCGTGTGTATAGTGTGTGTGTATGCCGTGCGTATAGAGTGTGTGTATGCTGTGTGTATAGTGTCTGTGTGCCGTGCGTATAGTGTGTGTGTGCTGTGCGTATAGTGTGTGTGTGTGCTGTGTGTATAGAGTGTGTATGCCATGCGTATAGAGTGTGTATGCCGTGTGTATAGTGTGTGTGTACTGTGCATATGCTGTGCGTATAGAGTCTGTATGCTGTGCGTATAGTGTGTGTGTGTATACTGTGCATATGATGGGGGTATGCCGTGCGTATGCCGTGCGTATGCCGTGCGTAAGCTGTGTGTATGCCGTGTGTAAGCTGTGTGTATAGGGTGTGTGTGTGTATAGGGTGCATGTATGCCATGTGTATAGAGTGTGTGTGTATATAGGGTGTGCGCGTGTGTGTATAGGGTGTGCGTGTGTGTATAGGGTGCATGTATGCCATGTGTATAGAGTGTGTGTGTGTATAGGGTTTGTGTGTGTATAGGGTGTGCGCGTGTGTGTGTATAGGGTCCATGTATGCCATGTGTATAGAGTGTGTGTATAGGGTGTGTGTGTGTATAGGGTGTGTGTGTGTATAGGGTGCATGTATGCCATGTGTATAGAGTGTGTGTATAGGGGGGTGTGTGTATAGGGTGTGTGTGTGTATAGGGTGCATGTATGCCATGTGTATAGAGTGTGTGTGTATATAGGGTGTGCGCGTGTGCGTATAGGGTGTGCGTGTGTGTATAGGGTGCATGTATGCCATGTGTATAGAGTGTGTGTGTGTATAGGGTTTGTGTGTGTATAGGGTGTGCGCGTGTGTGTGTATAGGGTCCATGTATGCCATGTGTATAGAGTGTGTGTATAGGGGGGTGTGTGTATAGGGTGTGTGTGTGTATAGGGTGCATGTATGCCATGTGTATAGAGTGTGTGTGTATATAGGGTGTGCGCGTGTGCGTATAGGGTGTGCGTGTGTGTATAGGGTGCATGTATGCCATGTGTATAGAGTGTGTGTGTGTATAGGGTTTGTGTGTGTATAGGGTGTGCGCGTGTGTGTGTATAGGGTCCATGTATGCCATGTGTATAGAGTGTGTGTATAGGGGGGTGTGTGTATAGGGTGTGTGTGTGTATACGGTGTGTGTATGCCATGTGTATAGAGTGTGTGTGTATATAGGGTGTGCGCGTGTGTTTATAGGGTGTGCGTGTGTGTATAGGGTGCATGTATGCCATGTGTATAGAGTGTGTGTGTGTATAGGGTTTGTGTGTGTATAGGGTGTGCGCGTGTGTGTGTATAGGGTCCATGTATGCCATGTGTATAGAGTGTGTGTATAGGGTGTGTGTGTGTATAGGGTGTGTGTGTGTATAGGGTGCATGTATGCCATGTGTATAGAGTGTGTGTGTGTATAGGGTGTGCGCGTGTGTGTATAGGGTGTGCGTGTGTGTATAGGGTGCATGTATGCCATGTGTATAGAGTGTGTGTGTGTGTATAGGGTGTGCGCGTGTGTGTGTGTATAGGGTGTGTGTGTGTATAGGGTGTGTGTGTATAGGGTGTGTGTGTGTGTATAGGGTGTGCGCGTGTTTGTGTATAGGGTGTGTGTGTATAGGGTGTGCGCGCGTGTGTGTATAGGGTGCGTGTATGCCGTGCGTAATGCCGTACGTATAGGGCGTGCGTGCGCGTGCGTGCGCGTGCGTGTGTGCGTGCGTGCGTGCGTGCGTGTGCGTGCGTGTGCGTGCACCGTACCAGGGGCTAATCTTCATGAGCGGGATCGGGGCGCAGGTGAAGAAGACGGTGAGCAGCAGGAAGGACTTGCGGCCCCACACGTCCGACAGGGCCCCGATCAGCGGGGCGCTCAGGAACGACAGCAGCCCCTACCGTGGGTGGGGGGGGGGGGGGGTCATGAGGGGAGGGAGAGGTGAGGGGAGGCACGCGGGAGGGAGAGGGGGGGGGGCCATGGGGGAGGGAGAGGGGGGGGGGTTATGGGAGAGGGAGAGAGGTGAGGGGAGGCACGCGGGAGGGAGAGAGGGGGGGGAGTCATGGTGGAGGGAGAGAGGGGAGGGGGGGCCATGGGGGAGGGAGAGAGGGGAGGGGGGGCCATGGGGGAGGGAGAGGGGGGGGTCATGGGAGAGGGAGAGAGGGGAGGGGAGGCACGCGGGAGGGAGATAGGGGGGGGTCACGGGAGAGAGAGAGGGGAGGGGGGGCCATGGGGGAGAGAGAGTTGAGGGGAGGCACGCGGGAGGGAGAGGTGAGGGGGGGTCACGGGGGAGAGGAGGGAGGGGGGGTCACGGTGGAGGGAGAGAGGGGAGGGGAGGCACGTGGGAGGGAGAGAGGGGGGGGGGTCACGGTGATGCACACGGAGTTGCAGGGACGTGTCTTGTCCAGATAAAATAAAGTAAAACGACAAGGATATACGAGTCAAGTGGGCAATGTTAGTCTATGGGCAATGTTAGTCTATGGGTAATGTTAGTCTATGGGCAATGTTAGTCTATGAGCAATGTTAGTCTATGGGCAATGTTACTCTATGGCCAGGCAATGTAAGTCTAGATGCCACTGGTTCTTCACGTTCTGCAGATGTAGATGCCACTGGTTCTTCACGTTCTGCAGATGTAGATGCCACTGGTTCTTCACGTTCTGTAGATGGAGATGCCACTGGTTCTTCACGTTCTGCAGATGTAGATGCCACTGGTTCTTCACGTTCTGTAGATGTAGATGCCACTGGTTCTTCACGTTCTGCAGATGTAGATGCCACTGGTTCTTCACGTTCTGCAGATGTAGATGCCACTGGTGCTTCACGTTCTGTAGATGTAGATGCCACTGGTTCTTCACGTTCTGCAGATGTAGATGCCACTGGTTCTTCACGTTCTGTAGATGGAGATGCCACTGGTTCTTCACGTTCTGCAGATGTAGATGCCACTGGTTCTTCACGTTCTGCAGATGTAGATGCCACTGGTTCTTCACGTTCTGCAGATGTAGATGCCACTGGTGCTTCACGTTCTGTAGATGTAGATGCCACTGGTTCTTCACGTTCTGTAGATGGAGATGCCACTGGTTCTTCACATTGTGCAGATGTAGATGCCACTGGTTCTTCACGTTCTGCAGATGTAGATGCCACTGGTTCTTCACGTTCTGCAGATGTAGATGCCACCACCGCCGTCTATTGCCCGACGGTTGAACTTACGACTCTCGGTTCGGCGACTGGACATTACGGACCAGATTTGTTCGTATCTCTGAAAGTTCGTAAGTCGAATGTTCGCGAGTAGCAGAGTCCCTGTACTATGTAAACAGACGAGGATATATACGATGTCGAACGCAAGTGCAAAGTAACGTTCTTATGAATCGCTACGATTACGTTTTTGTTTGTTTAAATCCGCAGAGGCGGAATGCTCTACGGGTTTTTTGTTTCTCCTCCCCCTCAATGGGAAATGAACCTCGCGATTTGCAAAAGGATCAAAAGCTCGAGGTCACACGGGAGGCTAACCGACGCTCGTGCCACGCATGGTCAGCTGCCATCGGTGGCGGGGGAGGTGGGGGGGGGCGGGCGGTGGGGATCGCCCTAGGCCTAAACAATAACACAAACCACAACCGGCCATTGGGACGGTTGAGATGAAGTGAGGTGAGACGTGGTGCAAAGTGCGCTGTGGTGACGAGCCCGGGGACGCTGAAGCAACGCCACCGCCCCCTCCCGCCCGCCCCGTAAGCGCGCAAAATCCTTTGTAACCTCGCGTCAACAGCCGTGGCACGCACACACGCACTCACGAGCGGTCAGGTGTGCGTTTTCAGGCTGGCGTGTTCATGCATGCGTGTTCAAGCGTGCGTGTTTGTGCATGTTCAAACGTGCATGCGTGTTCGTGCATGTTCAAACGTGCGTGCGTGTTCAAGCGTGAGTGTTCGTGTATGTTCAAACGTGCGTGCGTGTTCATGCGTGCCTGTTTCTAATTTTCTTTGCATGTTCAAGCGTGCGCGTTCAAGCCTTCTTGCGTGTTCAAGCATGACCGCCTGTTCAAGCGTGCCTGTTCAAGCATGTGTGTTCAAGCATGCCTGCCTGTTCATACATGCCTGCCTGTTCAAGCATGCCTGCCTGTTCAAGCGTACGTGTTCCATCGTGAGTGTTCAAGCGTTCATGCACATTCACGCATGCCTGCCTGTTCAAGCGTGCCTGTTCAAGCATGTGTGTTCAAGCGTGCGTGCGTGTTCAAGCGTGCGTGTTCCATCGTGCATGTTCAAGCGTGCGTGTTCAAGCGTGCGCGTTCAAGCGTGCGCGTGCGTACCTTCACGCCCTGTATGAGCCCGTTCATGAGGAATGTGTGCTGCGGGAATGTCTCGTGAAGAACCTTTAGAAAGACACACGACCCAACAAGGCGGCCCAAGCCACGACCAAACTGCGGTGAGGAATGGGTTTCGACGATTTGACAACCGCGCTGTGGAATCCCACTTATGCGACAGTGACAGAGGCGGTGGTGGCTGCGACAGCGTTGTTGATTATACGGATGGTGGTGGTAGTTAGGGTGGTGGCGTTGATGTCGGTGGTCGTGACGGTGGCAGTGTCGGCGATGAATGCGGATGGCGGCCGGGGTATTTGACGTTAGCGAGTGATGGTATTCTATGGCGGTGGTGACGGTGGAGGTTTTACAGCGGTAGCGGTGATCTCAGCCATGCCGCGGACGATGGAATATACCGTGGTGCTGATGTCGCCGATGGTGATAACATTGCTGATATGATTTGAGCGTGACAGCGTTCAGTACTGGGGATATTACTGATGTTATTAATTCATTATGCCATTTTATTATGGCGGCAGTGGTGCAGTAACAGCGCTAACCGTGGTTGAAGTGGCGGTGGTGATGTCTGCAGTGGTACCGATGTTGGTAGTGACAGTGATGACGATGATGATGGCGACAATGATGGCGTTAAGACGAGCGTGACGATGGCAGTAGTGATCGAACAGATGGTGCTGCTGCTGATGGCGGTTGCAGCGAGACTGCTGATGATGATGGTGGCAAAGATGTCGATTGCAGCAGCGACAGTGACGCTGCTGTTACCGACAGCAGCGATGATGGCGGCAGTGAAGTTCAGTTGATGACAGTGCCAATGGTGATGGTAGTGATAGTGATGGTGCGGATGACGATGGCAATGATGCCAATAACAACAGACGACAATAACGGTGCTGTCAGTGATGGCAACGATGACGGCGGTAGTAGCCCGACTGCAGGTACTGGTAAGCATAACAGCGATGGCAGTGACAACCATTATGGTGGTGATGACGATGACGACATCGACGACGACAACGACGATGACGACATCGATGACGACATCGATGACGACGACGACAACGATGACGACATCGATGACGACATCAATGACGATGACGACATCGATGACGATGACGATATCGATGACGATGACGACATCGATGACGATGATGACATCTATGACGACATCGATGACGACGACGACGACATCGACGACGATGACGACATCGATGACGACATCGATGACGATGACGACAACAACACGTTAGAGGAGGGGCGGGCCGTCTCACCGTGAGCGTGGGGGCCGTGAGGAGGCCCCATGCGAAGAACTCGAGGAAGATGACGATGACAGCGTGGTACACACTCGGCTGTCCAAACCCCTGGGGCTGAATGCACACACACGCACGCAACGCACACACACGCACGCAACGCACACACACACACGCACAAAAGACAACGATCCCCCGTGTAATCTTAACAGACTGTTGGGGTGCTGTTAGCGAGTAGCACCTATGAAGGCCGGCACGGCACACGAGGGGGTGGGTGGCCAGCACAACGCCCGACGGCCTTTGTCTCCCCAGTGGCGATGTTTTTACACACCGAACCAGTTGACTCATTTGAGGCTGAGAGGACCTAGGGGAGGCCCAGGACCGGTTCAGACAATCGTCACTGATGTTGGCCGTGAGCGTTAACCGCTACCACTACCGCTCCCCACGCACACATACACAGCCCGTCACGCGATAAATACGACTTCCATATGGCAGAAGCGCTTCTGAAAGCCCGTGATGCAGTGTGCGAGTCCAAGGGTCTCTGTGTGATGAGTGTATGGGTTAGTATAGGTCTGTGTGATCAGTCCATGGGTTTCTATGGGTCTCTGTGTGATGAGTCTATGGGTTTCTATGGGTCTCTGTGTGATGAGTCTATGGGTTTCTATGGGTCTCTGTGTGATGAGTCTATGGGTTTCTATGGGTTTCTATGGGTTTCTATGGGTCTCTGTGTGATGAGTCCATGTGTTTCTATGGGTCTCTGTGTGATGAGTCCATGGGTTTCTATGGGTCTGTGTGATGAGTCCATGGGTTTGTATCGGTCTGTGTGATAAGTCTATGGGTTTCTATGGGTCTCTGTGTGATGAGTCTATGGATTTCTATGGGTATCTGTGTGATGAGTCCATGGGTTTATATGGGTCTCTGTGTGATGAGTCTATGGGTTTCTATGGGTCTCTGTGATGAGTCTATGGGTTTTTATGGGTCTCTGTGTGATGAGTATATGGGTTTCTATGGGTCTCTGTGTGATGAGTCTATGGGTTTCTATGGGTCTCTGTGTGATGAGTCTATGGGTTTCTATGGGTCTCTGTGTGATGAGTCCATGGGTTTCTATGGGTCTGTGTGATGAATTTATGGGTTTCTATGGGTCTCTGTGTGATGAGTCTATGGGTTTCTATGGGTTTATATGGGTCTCTGTGTGATGAGTCTATGGGTTGCTATGGGTTTATATGGGTCTCTGTGTGATGAGTCTATGGGTTGCTATGGGTTTATATGGGTCTCTGTGTGATGAGTCTATGGGTTGCTATGGGTTTATATGGGTCTCTGTGTGATGAGTCTATGGGTTGCTATGGGTTTATATGGGTCTCTGTGTGATGAGTCTATGGGTTGCTATGGGTTTCTATGGGTCTCTGTGTGCGGGTCCATGTGATGATAAGCCACGTCGTTGTGCTATCATTTGTGGTTCTTGTTGCTTCTGAATAGGAGCTCAGTAAATCAAAAATAGCAAAGTCTTAGTTTAGTTTTAATTCTATTTATTTCATCAAATCACATAGGATTATTGCATTTATCTTGTAACGAATGTTCAAACTGACCTCTATTGACATGAATTAATTTAGGAAAATGTTTCGCGTAAGATTACAGGTGTGCTCTTTTGAACATTCATCGAGCTTCAAATTAGCACCTCGGCCTTAAAATGGTGTTGTGTTCATTTGAAGCTTTCCTGACTGCAGGAATCCATCCTCTTTTCGACGTTTCGGGCGCAACACAAGCGTCCATCATCAGGTGGGAAAGCTGTGACCTGCTGCTGATGATGCAGACGGTTTTAAAAAGGTTTAAAACAGTCTGCATCAGCAGCAGACCGTGATCTCTCTCTCTCTCTCTCCGTGGTGGTCACCTGGATTTTTCTCCGGGTCGTCCGGTTTTTCCCTCCACATTTAGAATCAACGTCACGAGTTTTAGAGGATTTGGCCGCAATACATTTCCACGTGAGATTATGATAAGGCACTCTCGTTAAGCTGTCATTTGTGATGGCCAGGTCACTGCATAAAAACAGTTATACAGCTCAGTGGGCCTTACCTGGTAAAATAAAAGAGATTAATAGATTAGTTTACAATAAATCATATTCAAAAGTGCTATTCCTCCTATGTTGAAAAAGTTCAGACTACATGGGTTCCGAAATGGGTCCATAGTTTGGGTTGCATGGCCAAAGCCGCAATACTGTGGCTTGTCTTTAATGTACCTCTATGTATCTCTGTGTGTCTCGTTGGCTCTCTATGGGCCTCTGTATCTCCGTAAGTCTCTATGGGTTTACTGTACGGTCAATAGTTTGGAGTTGCATGGCCACAACCGCATTACTGTGGCTTGTGTCTATAATTTTCCATCCATTAAGGAGATGTGCACATTGGACCGTTGCTGATGTTCTGATGCAGTTGATGGCTGCACCAGTGGTGAGTCGGTGGGTGACTGGGTGAGTGAGGGAGTTGACGGTTACATCAGTGGTCAGTGGGTGGGTGGGTGACTGGGTGAGTGAGTGAGGGAGTTGATGGTTACATCAGTGGTGAGTGGGTGACTGGGATAGTGAGTCAGTGAGCTGATGGTTATACGAGTAGTGTCTACGAAGGTGTGCGATTGTCAATTTGCACTTATTGACTGAACCCATTTCAGGAATAGTGTCAGCAATTAAATGCAATCGTTTAACAACAATAATCACGGGTATGACGATGTTTTGCGAAACGGACGATAAGACACACGGGATCGTAGGAGTGTCGCTGTATCGCCACAAACATAACGTCACAGATAGCCGGTCGAAACGTTCCAACGTCCTAATAAATAAGCCGGTAAAATGGCATTTCTGCGTCTGTCTGCCGTCCTCATTGGGCAATTCTCTCGCGTGATTCTTTGCTCAAAATGGACATTGCCACAGTGCTCATGTGGCAATGCGGGAGGTGAGTCTATTCATGGGGCAGACATTGCAGACTTCCACCGCAAAGTGGTGCCGTACTCATTTTAAACGACCCTGGGAGGGGAATGATGGAGCAGCAAGTCAACCTCCCTCCGTCCCTCCCTCCCTCACCAGGATTTGAACTCGCAACCTTCCGTTTGCGAGCCACCTGGCCGGTTTATTGAAGCCGAGCCAATATTTACCGAGCTTCCACTGTCACAGAAACTATCGTAAAATTACCGCGATAAGTGGGCCCTCCCCCGGCAAAAGTGCACGAGGAAAAATTTCCACCACAGGTCAGAGGTCGCAAACGGGTACCATATCGTGTAGGGTACGGGTACCCGATTGTGACCTCTGGGATGAAGCCATGTTGCAGGCGTGGGTAGGTTGATTCTAGGAACTTGAATTGTTAGAAGAGACAAGACGTTGGGAAATGAGTGAGAAACGGTGACTCGCCAGTGACTCACAGCCTATCAGTACCCGTACCCGGCCGCACCAGGGTCGCAAATGGGTACCCGTACCTGTACCCGGCCGGGTACGGGTAGCCGGGTATCGGGTAGGGTACGGGTATCGGGTACCCGGTTGCGACCTCTGCCACAGGTCGGGCATATGAAGTGCCACACGGACACAATATTTTTGACACCACGGGAAATTCGTTCGTTCCCTTTCTCAGTCCGCTTGCCCTGGGCGAGAGTCGCGGTGGCAGCAGCATGTTGAGTAGTGGCGGTCCTGACCTCCCTTTCCCTGGCGACAGGCTAGCACTAACTACACTATACACTACGATACATTACTACACTGTACGATACTGGAATGAATATACACTACTACACTACGAGGCAATGCTGCCCGGTAAAGTTGAAGGGGGAACCACCTCCACTAATTTCCACAGGAAATGTTTTTCTCATTTATACACTAAAAACTAAACGATTTTTTTCTTATTTAACCAGGTGAAGGGCCCAACGAGCTTCATAGCTTTTTTTCAGCAGCGACCTGGCTATCACAAATGATAGCTCAACGAAGTGGGATCATCATCATCATCATGTGGGAATTTATAGCGGCAGCAAAATACTCTTGAACGCGTGACGTTCAATGTAAATGCGGAGGGGAAAAAAACGGAGGACCTCGGAGTAAAATCCACGCAACCACGTGGAGAGAAACACGCAAACTCCAAATATACAGCAGGCTGTAATGCCGCAGTATGGACCTGAAAACTCAATTTCCCTGGACAAGTATACGGAGTAAACCGTACGCGTTGACACGGCGTGTCGTTAACCCATGCATCCGAGCACCCTCAGCGTTCTGCTTCACGAATGTTGACACTCGCTGTGGCCTCGTGTACAATTGTGGCCACTGACCAAGAGAGAAACAAACGACCGCCAACACGCACGTACAACAATTTAACAAAATAGTGTGCGGAGCGGATGGTAATCTCACTGCTCTGAACAACAGCTGTCAAACAACAACGTCCGTTTGTTGTTGTCTACGGAGACATTTCACTTTTCTTTTTGAAAAATGCGGAAGCCGACCGGGCTGGCTAAGCGGTGGTGGCAATTCCACATTCCCAGGGCGGGGGACGAGTCTCTTCGTACGAGCAACCACCGTCGACTACCCTGCGAAGTGGTACCTCATTTACCGACCCCCGGAGGGATGGATGATTGGCTACACTGCTTGCAGGTCAACTCGGCTGAAAAATGTCAAATCCAGTGGGCAGCAACTCCTCTCGGGTGCCCTCGCTCGGTGAAGGCCTCCTCTAGGTCTACTCAGCCTGAAATAAGCATCTGGTTAATAACTTCCCCTGCCCCCCCCCCCCCTCATCTGTACTTCCTTGAGGTCGATTAAGACTTGAAATAAGACCTCGTTACCCCATATCGTGTCAACCCACACGGTTTACTCCGTGTTCTTCTTGTACAAGGAAATTGAGTTTTCAGGTCCACACGGCGGCGTGACAGACGTTTCAATACGGGCAAGACGAAATGTTTCGTGTCTATTTGTTCGTGTTTCTCTCCTTGTGATGGGGACTTTGTAGGATGAACGTTGAGATGTATAAGGACACACGTGGTGACCAATAAGATCTGTAGTAAGGTAGGGCACTGATAAGGGGTTGACAGGTATGTAGTAGTGTACAGTAGTGTAGTGTGTATAGTGTAGTGTATAGTAGTGTAGTGTGTAGTGTACAGTAGTGTAGTGTGTATAGTGGAGTGTATAGTAGTGTAGTGTGTAGTGTATAGTAGTGTAGTGTATAGTAGTGTAGTGTATAGTGTAATGTATAGTAGTGTAGTGTATAGTAGTGTAGTGTATAGTAGTGGAGTGTATAGTAGTGTAGTGTATAGCAGTGTAGTGTATAGTAGTGTAGTGTATATGATGAACGTTGAGATGTAGCCAACAACGCTATGAATTGGGTTGACAGGTACGTAGTAGTGTATAGTAGTGTAATGTATAGTAGTGTATAGTGTAGTGTAAAAGGGGGTTGACAGGGACGTAGTAGTGTATAGTGTAGTGTATAGTAGTGTAGTGTACAAGGGGGTTGACAGGTACGTAGTAGTGTATAGTAGTGTAGTGTATAGTAGTGTAGTGTATAGTGTAGTGTATAGTAGCGGTGTATAGTAGTGTAGTGTATAATAGAGTGTACAAGGGGGTTGACAGGTACGTAGTAGTGTATAGTAGTGTAGTGTATAGTAGTGTAGTGTATAGTAGTGTAGTGTACAAGGGGGTTGACAGGTACGTAGTAGTGTATAGTAGTGTATAGTGTAGTGTATAGTAGTGTATAGTATAGTGTATAGTGTAGTGTACAAGGGGGTTGACAGGGACGTAGTGTACCTCCTCAGAATTCGTCCTCGTATCGAATCACTCTCAGTGCCTCGTGTAGGTCGCCTCGGACTGAACAGAGAGACTCACTCCTGCCCCCCTCTCGCCTAAAATAAAAGTTGCTCCCCAGTTGTGGTGGGAGGAGGCAATTTAGCAGAAATACCCGTCTCTCTTTCCCTCTGAGGCAAACCATAACCAATTGTTGTTGTCGTTGTTATAATCACAACGTTCAAATGTATTTACGGCGTCTTGCAAACACCTCCACGAACGATTTCCCGACGAGTTACACGGCGTAGGCCTCCGACTGGGGACCCCCCCCCTCTCTCCTCGTTGGCCGCGGCTCGCCGCGCACCTCGACCCGGCCGAGCCGCGCTAGGCAAGACCGAGGCCGCATCCACGGAGGCCCAAGAAGTCGGACTCGACGACGGCGGCGGCGGCCAACCAACGAACGAACGGGGAAAGGCACCGGGGGGCAGCAACAACAACAGCAACAACAACAACAGCAGCAACAACAACAACCGCCCCGATCTTTATATATTTTTAAACAAAATAATAAAAACGTCTTTAGTGCCTCACCGTGCCGCCGTCCTTGATGATGAGCTTCTTGGCGAGCATCACGCTGCGGTTGAGTCGCTGCTTCTTCTTCTTGTTCGACTGCAACATCCTCGCCCCGTCACTTATTTACCTCAACATCGTTGTGGCGAGCGCTGATGGCGCGTTCAGAGGATGAGGGGTGGGGGTCGGGGGGGTGGGGGGGCGGGGGGGGGCGGGGGGGGGCGGGGGGTGGGGGGAAAGGGGAACCTGAGAAACGCGCGGTCGGAACGCGGGAACGTCATCGCACGTTGGCCTAGACGCGTTGACGTCATCGCGCGCTGGCGGGACGCGTTGACGTCCTCGCGCGTTGGCGGGACGCGTTGACGTCATCGCGCGCTGGCGGGACGCGTTGACGTCATCGCGCGCGGTCGAAGACGCGGTGACTGAGATGACTGGGCCGATGCAGCTCTATAACACCAACGACGATTTAATTGACACGCGTATTTAAGACGTGGATTACAGACTCAACCGTTCAATGCTTTTCAAGGCACAGGCAAAACAAATAACATGTAAAAAAAAACTAATTAAAATATAATATAAAAAATACTAATGCCCCGTGTGAGGATCGAACTCACGACCTTCAGATTATGAGACTGACGCGCTACCTACTGCGCTAACGAGGCATCTGAACCACACCCGCCTCGTCAACACTTATCTATCCAACGCGGAACATGTGTATCGTTAAATTATATATTAAGTTTTAACGTAACATCTAAAAAAATTATCCGTTCAACGGTATATATAAAAGAAAATCTTCCCACGTTACTTTCATGAAGGCAGTGTGTTAAGAGACCACAACGTTTATATGCAAACGAAATTATTCATAACAACGATTGTAAACGCAACACGCAATTGTGCGGTAACTGTAGTGTACACGAATCTATTATTCCGTAATGTTACTTATTAGGCAATCACCATACCGGTGTCTGAGTTATAAATAGATTTTATAGAATGCCTCGATCTTGTACAGCGATGGTGGTATAGTGGTGAGCATAGCTGCCTTCCAAGCAGTTGACCCGGGTTCGATTCCCGGCCATCGCAACGCAAATATTTTTTTTTTACATTTATATTTTTTTCATGAATTCTTCCTTGCAATGTTTACGACACGAGGCGTTGGCGAAAGCGGGGTGGTGGGTAAGACTTTTACCAACACACCGAGAATGCAACCAATTGATTGTGCGCCCCGAGTGGCAACGCAATTGCCTCGTTGTGCCGCCGTCTGCCGTCCAATGGGTGTAATTGCACCTCCAAGTGCGGCGACACAAAATGTCATAAAGCCGATGAGCTGTAAAGCTCTTTGTTTTTCGACAGACATCCTGCGTGTGATTCAAGTGTCAGCCCCCCCTCGCCCCCCCCCCCCCCCCGATTGAGGTCACGGTAGAAACCATCATCACTTGCCGACGTGGGTATTTTTTAAATCCTTTATATTAAGTTCGCTTGCTTGCTTGCGCGCTTACGACCGTGCAAATCTTTCGGTCGTTTTTTAACCCACTTCCCGTGATCCAATCGAGCTGACATTTTGCACACAGACTCGTTGTGCGAGACAATTAATGTTCGTGACAATTTTTTTTCCAAAATTTTACACTGTTTAGGGAAAACAAATTAAATATTTAATTACCAATTGCTTAATACTGGCAGACAATCATCTGACCCATAGGTAGCAGCCATCTCAAGCCAGAGGACGAGAGGACTCTAGCCGCCACGCATATAAAGGATTTATAGTGAAAAACTTTGTTTTTACGGGTTAATTTTTATTTCCTCCCTCCCCCACCCACTTTTTATTATTACAACCGCGTTAAACAGGGCTTCGTAAAAGCGTAAAACAAACGAAACGCACAAAACAAGAGAAACAAACCCAGTGCGACTAAAGCGCCACTCGGAAAGCCGCACGGACGTGTCGGTGGGTGTGTCGTAAAAACCAAACGCCTGCGTCGGAAATCGACCCGCGGCGGCGACGTCGTGTAAACGTCGTGAACGTGGGTCGTCGTAAATCGGAAACCGGGCGCATGGCAAACGGAAGTGTCACGTGGACAGGATTCCCCCACAACCACCACCACCACCTGCCCACGTGCCGCCTCCACGGGGTGCTGAGACAATAAAGAGACTTTTTTCTTCTTGGTTCTTTCGGTAAAGTCATCACGTAGAAGGGAAGTAATAAAATAATAAAAATAAAACAAATAATTCTCACGACGTTTCGGCCACAACGCAAGCAACCGTCCTCAGGTGAAACCAGGATCTCTAGACAATAGACCGACTGACCAGACTCAACCTTCGCAATAATAATTTGAATAACAACAAAGTAATCAGGAACACAGTTCAGCATCTGCAGAATACACCGAATGCATTTTATTTGCATATTAATTTTGAACAGGTTCATCATACATTCAAGGGTGATTGGCACTTCGCCGAATCGACCGTGCATCAGAAATCTGGTGGGCAAGCGACAGCGAGGCGCGGAATTCCGTAACTCCGGATGGACCGTGGCCGACGGCGACGCCGACGATGACGCCGACGGTGACGCCGACGCCAACGGCGACGCCAACAATGACGCCGACGGTGACGCCGACGGTGACGCCGACGGTGACGCCGACGGTGACGCCGACGCCAACGGCGATGCCGACGATGACACCGACGGTGACGCCGACGGCGACGCCGACGGTGACGCCGACGGCGATGCCGACGATGACACCGACGGTGACGCCGACGGTGATGCCGACGGTGACGCCGACAATGACGCCGACGGCAACGCCAACGGTGACTTCGATGCCGACGGTGATGGCGGCGCTAGCATCGTCGCTTCGGCACGCGCGGCAACTGTTTTCTTTTTACACGCAAATAAATCTTTAGCGTCTCCCGCTTTGGTCATTAGACGCACGCACGCACCATCCTCGCTCTCTCTCTCTCGCTGTGTTCACGGGCCGGGGGGGGGGGGGAAGCTGTAAGTGATGGCGGCGGAGGCGACGACGATATTTGCGGCCGAGATTTATAGACGGAGCGCTGCAAAAAATTCACCGGACAGATCGCGCCCGCCGCCCGACCCCGGGTTGGGGACAGGAATGGTCTCGCGTACCCGAGACCACCTCCCTGGAAGCCGCGCGTGGGGCCACGCTGGAATATTGGCGGGCGAGGGAAGAGGGGATTGATTGCTCGCTGCACGAGTCACAGAGACAAAGATCCCCCCCCCGTGTCGCCTTGGACAGGCTTTTGAAGGCCACACGGGGAGGAAAGTGCTGTTCGTCGCCGGTAGCGTAACGGTGGCGAGCGTTGTCATGTTGGGATGAGGTCGGGGTGCGTTTCTAAGCGTGCCGTCTGCTGCGTAGCGGTAGCGAGGGGTGCCTTGTAGCGGGTGGCACATCACGTGGTGTACAGGAGGTCGTGGGTTCGATCCTGATCCTGACGCCTGCTGCTGTATATTTGGAGTCTGCGTGTCTTTCTCCGTGGTGAGATGTTAACTACCTCGCCTGGTATACAGGAGGTCGTGGGTTCGATCCTGACCCTGACACCTGCTGCTGTATATTTGGAGTCTGCGTGTCTCTCTCTCTCATCATCATCATCACGGTGGCTAGGAGATGTTAACTACCTCGCCTGGTGTACAAGAGGTCGTGGGTTCGATCTTGACCCCGACGCCTGCTGCTGTATATTTGGAGTCTGCGTGTCTCTCTCTGCCCGTGATGGTCGCGTGGAATTTTCTCCGGGGTCCTCGGGTTTTTCCTCTCTCCACGTTCACAAGCGACGTCGCCACGCGTTTAGGAGTATTTGGCTGCTGTAAATTTCCACGCGACGACGACGACGATGATGATGATGCCCCACTTGGTTGAGCTATCGTTTGTGATGGCCGGGTCGTGTCTGAAAAAAAGAGCTGCATCGCTCAGCGGGGCCTTGCCTGGTAAAATAAAAAAAACTTCACGGCTTATAGTTGACATCGGGGTGTAACGATACGTGGCGTGTCGGAGTGTCGGAGTGTTCTCTGTCACTCCTGAGCCGGGGCCAGCCTCTTGATGAGAGGGTTGTCGTAAATCCAGCACTCTCCATCCTCGTGGAATAACTACACAGAGACAAATATCCCCCGTGTAGCCTCAACAGACTGTTCGAGCAAGTGCTGTTAGCGAGTAGCAGCAGCGCCTATGAAGGAGACAAAGACAAAGATCCCCCGTGTAGCCTCTAACAGACTGTTGGGGCAAGTGCTGTTAGCGAGTAGCAGCAGCACCTATGAAGGAGACAAAGACAAAGTTCCCCCGTGTAGCCTCTAACAGACTGTCAGGGCAAGTGCTGTTAACGAGTAGCAGCAGCGCCTATGAAAGGCAGCACGGCACGTGAGAGGGGGGTGGGTGGACAACGCCACCCCCGGCCGCGTTTGTCTCCCCAGTGGCGATGTTTACACGCAGCACCAGCTGCTCATTTTCGAAGCCGAATCCACCGATGGGAGACCAAGTCACCAATTCAGGTAATCGTCACCGATGTCGGCAGCGAGCAGGAATCAAAACTTGGGGGGCCACGTTTGTAGCACGGTGCACGAAGCACTGCAATGCTGCTCTCCATAATTACCAGCACCTTCACCAGCAGCTTCACCACCAGCTTCACCACCACCATCACGACCACAATCATTGCCACTATCACCACCGTCACCACCACCACCATCGTCACCACCATAACCGTCGTCACCGTCACCACCACCACCATCGTCACCACCACCACGCCACCATCACCGCCGCCACCACCGTCATCGCCACCACCACCACCGCCGCCACCACCACCACCACCGCCGCCACCACCACCACCGCGGGCGCGAGTACCTTGGTGCGCCAGGCGTCCCCGCTCTCCTTGCGCCCGCGCGCCTCGGCCCGCTGCTGCTCCTCCAGGTAGTGCTTGGCGTCGGTGGCGCGGTCGATGTCCCCCGCCTTGAGGCTGCTCGTCACGTCACGCCACAGCCTACGGCAACACCACGGCAGCCGCCGTTGGCCAGGAGATGTTAACCACCTCGCCTGGTGTGCAGGAGGTCGTGGGTTCGATCCCGACCCTGACGACGCCTGCTGCTGCTGCTGTATATTTGGATTCTGCGTGTCTCTCTCTCTCTCTCATTATCATCACGGTGGCTAGATGTTAACTACCTCGCCTGGTGTGCAGGAGGTCGTGGGTTCGATCCCGA